GGGGGGGGGGGGGTAGCTTGTGTGTGTGTGGTGCAAATGTGTGTACATGTTTGTTTGTGTAAATAAATCATGATCATCTCTTTTCGCTCCACTGAAAAACTGCAGCTCCCCCTGCTGGTTGTGTGGCTGCATTAAATATGAATAAATGCAAATCCTTTATGTATACACAAGCTATTTTGTCTGTATGGTGGATCAGTGGTCAGAGCTGTCACCTCACATCAAGAAGATTTCAGGTTGTCCTCCCAGCATGGATGTTTTGTGTGGAGTTTGCATGTTCTAACCTGAATATGCAAGAGTTTTTCCAGATACTCTAGAGTGTTTGTCTATGTCAGAGCTATTCAACTGGTGGCCCGCAGGCCAGCGACTTCAATCCAGCCCACTTCATAAAGAAAACTTTTTTTGGTTTGTTTTGTTTTGTGGGTGTGTGTGTGTGTGTGTGGGGGGGGGGTGTTCTGGGTTCTGTTTATTGCATTTATGATTCAGTGCAATAAAATAAACAAATTTTAAAGGTAACAGGTTATTGTAAAAAAGTAAAATCTGGTCCTCTGGACATTCAAAAAACAAAACAAAAAAAAATGTAGAAACGTTTCGTCTTTCATCCGAAAGACTTCTTCAGTCTGAGGTGCTGTATTCAGCTCAGTCTTATAAATCAGAATCAGAATAAACTTTATTGGCATTGCACCGAGATACAACGAGAGCATGTACGTACCGTCTGAAAGATGGGAGGAGTGCACGAAGCTGCAACTATAGAAAGCGCGGTCTTCTTATTCTTATTCAGAATAATATTTTGCTTAGATTAGAAAAGGAAAGAAAACATGAGGAGAGACGGTATAAAAAAAAGATCTCTCACACCGTGTCCTAGACAGGGCACAATTTGAGGCATCAAAAAATCCTACCACAGCAAAGCAACATAAACAGACGTTTTACATGAACATATAGGCCGGTGAAGGCATTGAGTTTTTAAGGGGAAGTCGTAGCATAGTCCAGAGCCCCCCCTCAGCCATTGTCCAGATAAGAGGTGACGTTCATCTTCAGCTCAGTTGAGGTTCTGTTACATGTCCACGGCCTTGGGAAAGGAGGGGTGAGGAAACAGTCAAAGCATCTTTGTTGGTTTAAAACATTCCAGGAGGAGTTGAGATAAGTCCGGCATCAAAGACACAGTTTGGGTCAGGTAGAACTCATGAATTGTTGTTTCTGCATTTTAAAGCCTGCTGGTACATATTCTCTGATGGAACTCCAAAACAGCCGAATTGATCCTTTACTCCAAAGTCAAGCTCACAGCTTTCTCCAAGATTATTCCCACCATTCATGAGTGCTGCCAGTGAGTTCACAGTCCTGATAACAGCTGCTCCAGCTCCCTGCAGCAGCTCTCCAAATTCAGTCTGAGCACTGTCGAGCTACGACACATCCACACGCATTTGTAGACAATCCAGATTTCACCAACCAAACAGCAGAATCCAGTTGTCATCATGAATCCAATTTGTTTCCGTCGAGGTAAGAGGGTCCTCCTTACCCTGACTCCTGTCGGGAGAAGTTTATCAATTTTGTTGAGAGACGAGCTGATCCTTCCAATTGAGAGGTATGCAGAAAAAAAAGAGGCTTTTTAAGGGTTCGCAGGACAAAAGAGCGCAGCAGGGAAGCGGGGGAGGTATGGAGCGCCAGGAAACACGTCTGTCTTCACCAGAGTACAAAGGGAAAAAAAAAAAGCACCTTCTCAGTGTGGATCAACCGGTTTTGCTGCTGACAACCAAAACCACCTGCTCACATGATCAAGAAGGAACATCAGCCTAACGATGGATCATTAGCACACTGATAGCAGCTAGGCCTTCATTTCTCGTCTTCAGCTCGTCCAGAATGCTGCTGCTCGGCTTTTAACCGGAACTCGTAGGTCTGAACATATCACACCAGTTCTGTCCTCCCTTCACTGGCTCCCTGTTCATACGAGGATAGTCTTTAAAATTCTTTTGTTGACCTTCAAATGCTTAAATGGCCTCGCACCCCTTTTCCTCTCTGAGCTTCTGGAACCT